TTTGACTGTAAATAGCTTTAGGATTGAAATCGTTTGTGCACCGCAAGTTGCAAATGAACAACTTTTAAAACTGATGATAAATCCCAGACTATTTTTTGCATTATTTTCGTATCTTGGAAGAATCTCAAAAAATTGTAAGAAATTACTTCGTTGAACAGAGATCGCCGGCACCGGTAATGTTGCAGAAATAGAAAACGTCTAAATCTCAATTAAGATATTTGCATTGTATATACTATTAGCTTTTTAAATTAATTTTAATTGCGCCCCCTAATCGTTATTAAGTCATATTACCAGAACAAACTTCTGTCAACTCCAGAAATTAAAGTTACAACAATAAATAAAATCAAAGCCAATGATTAAAAGACAGCCTTTGTTCTAGAAAAAAAAGCCTCTGCACGAAGGCATCGTTGTCTCACGACATGCACCCAGGCCTTCCCCTACCATCATGACTGGGACCGGAAGAAGTGAGCGTTAAAAATGACTTCCGAACTCTTAGAATGACTCTTGAGTCTCGCCATAGTAGCTTCCAGTCGACAGGAAACACTTCATTGAAAACTTAAGGGGAGAGAGCTTTGATTGATCCATCATGCGTCCTCTGGCGCAACGTCATAAAGAGCTGGATTGAGGCCGTAGGAATAGCATAGCGACGTTTTACGATGCTATTATGGTGTCAATCGATCGGAATGGCCCGCGGTGCCAGCGGAAATTCTCCGTCAGACTCTAACAAAGATTCCGTGATTTATTCTAAGGCCGAGCAAATCGAGTACACGAAGTCATAGAGCAACAGTTATTTTATTTGTAAGTTTCTGGGTAATTGAGTACAAAAAAGAATAGAAGTGTCGAGTCCTTCAGTGATGCAGGTTGGTGATCTCTTTGAGTTCATTTACTCATAATTTATTTATTATCAAACAAGTACACATTTGTTCATTACGTGTTAGTATTTAGAATTTTTAAATTGTAACACGTCTGCTTTAAAATTTGATTTGGAATAATTATTGATCATGAAGAACAAGCTGAGTATAATTATGCAAATGTGCATGCTTTGTCTCTTTGTACATCTCACATTTTTACTTGGGAAAAGACCAGAAGTATTTAAGTTCACTCAGTTATAGTTAAATCTGGTCGAAATTAAATTTTTTGCTGGAACTAGTCAGAGCCATCAAAATAATTAATGACCGGACAGACTTGACCTATTCTTCTTCATCGACTTCACTGTATATGACAAAATTACAGTAACTCGCCTCGCTCTGATCTAAACTCGTCAAACATCAACATGCAAGATGAACGCGATGAGTATGGGGCATTGTGGCTATACAATGAAATAACTATTATTTACCTTAATTTTTTATATTTTCAATGTAAATATTTTTTAATCTATTCTATTTATCAAGACTTGAATCAGCATTAACTTATGACTAGTGTAAATTGGAATACCCTAAACATATCTTACAGATTCTTTTGGGCACGTCTTCCCTCAAAGGCTGTTATAATTATTTGTACCATGCATATTAACAAAGCTCTAAACGCGTTACCATTATAGATAATATTTTCAAAGTATTTTCGCTTCGCTGTAGGAATCTTACCTATCACCTGGGTAGGGATTTTCACTGTATATTGTTGTCGAATAACCCTGCCTCAAAAGTGGTTAGCCTTGCCCTTACATTTATATTGGGTGACAGCGACCAACCCTAGCTAAGCTGAGCAGTGAGCAGTGAATTACACTGCATGCCATACTCGTAAGACCAAATTTCAAATCATTAAGACAAATTACAGGCTTTTGGCTTAAAAATTGTCTTCTGATGTTTTTCCTTCAGTATTTTGCTAGTAGTATGTGTGAGTTTGCGATACAGGGCTAAAGCACTAATTAAATTTCATAGCGCGCAGCACAATCTTACGAATGCCACAGCATTGAATATCATTTTATAAAGTAAAAATGTTACCATCGATGAATTTTTAATTGATTAATTCTAATTTTGGATTAATTCAGAGATCATTTGATCAGAAAAATTTCGTGAATATTGTGGTATTAATATGGGAGGAACATCATCCGTCGCAATAATATTATTTAAGTCGGATCGAAGATGAGGAATATAGTGTTGCGTTGTGCATTCATGCTGCTCCTTTAATCAAATTAGTCGATTTCAAATCATTAAATTTACTTGATATTGATAGACCGATGAAGATAAAGAGGTTGTATGATGCATGAAGTAGTTTCAAAACTACACATTTTAGATAGAAAAACTAACTATAATTTGGATTTCAAAAATCCTTCATCGATTTTATAACCCAATTTTACAAATCCTTGATTTTAATGCTATGAATGAATTAAAAATACTCCTACCTCAGCACTCCAGAAAAATTCCCGAAAACAAGACAAGGTTCACAGCGGCTGATCATCACGGCCATTCATCTTCCTTGGTTGTTTGGCAAGAGTTTCGTGCACCCGACGGAGCGTCTCCCATCCATCCATCCATCCAGGCATCGAGCAGCGCTGAGTGCACAATTAATTCGTTACAGTCAGCTCTTGCCGCCATAAATCCTCGGGTGCCGCGGACGCTCCACGTGCCGTACGCGGAAACGGATCTGTTGCGGTCATGCTTGTGACGGTGTGGAGAACGTGAGATAGATTCCTTAATCTAGCATCTATCAAGTCGATCGTTGCATCAAAATCAGTTTCAATTTAACAACCAAATATAAACAAGCTGTGCTGTGCTGTGATACTTTAATCCAGCCATTAAATGAAAGAAATTTTGATAATCCATCTGATTTAAGAATTTTGAAAAAGTCTCTTTTTGTGAATTTATACTTGCGTATTCTGTAGCCAAGGTTGCAGACCTAATTACTGAACGAACAGCAAACATTTGATTAACAAACATATAAGTGAGAATATTTCATGACATTTATTGCGAGACGCTGAATAATCCGCGACGTTCAACCAAAAACAAAATACGAGGCAAGTTGAACAAGCGTATATATTTATACTTTACTATGCCCATTTTACAAAGCTAATCAGACCAAAGGTCTCATTACATTTTTTAAAGAGGAAACACTAGACAATCTTCTCTATTATCAATGGAAAACTTAGGGTTATTAGGTCATTCTCGTACAGCCATGAGGTCTGGCACCGAGTGACTAGCTTCTGTTCTTGCACTTGAAGTCACAGACGGAAATGTGCTACTGAGCGGTCAGCATCTTCAAGACAATGATGATGCCCAAACAGTTGTGATTCAGTGTTTAAGACTTTCGCCGCTTATTTCTAAGTGGAGGGCATTCATAAACTAGCAAAAGTTTAGGACAAATGCCGCAATATTGAAGGCTATTGTGTAGAAAAATAAAAAGAGTAGATAAAATAAATCTCACTATTGTGAGATACATAGAAGAAGAAAATAGACAGGTACGTACATCCTTTGAGGTACAATAGAAATGATATAAGTGCATTTGATTCGCTTCTTCTTATTTAAAAATGGTACATTTCAAAAACATGTCTCGTTACAGAGCAACGGAAGATAATTTTCCTTCACGCCTTCAGCAGGAGACTTTCTATCACATCAGGAAATCGTTATCTATTTCGTGCCGATGATTCGAATTTCAGGTACGCAGAGCCTAGGTTGGTTTGATAATTAGTGGTCTGGTGTACTCAAATGACGCTTGTGGAGGTCGCCGACCATTTCTCCATTCCAAGTCATCTTTAACGCTTTCGTAGAATTGTTAAGCTGCCAAGGAAGGCTGTCAGAAGGATTCCTGTTCGACTGAAAGTCGTGAGATTAAAATGTTGCATCACGAAGACGTGTAATGATAGTCAGTGCCATCGGGGCATCAGGTTTAAATTTCCAGAGCAAATCACATTGTGTCAGGGATCGCTTGAGGTTGTCTGATCTTTGTTTGACTCGGGCGATCTCACTCAAGGAAAGATTCAATCTTGCATTTCATCAAAGCAACGACCGCACTAGACCTGGATGTTTAACTCGAAAAACATGATTATATATATTTTGCATGATTGAGGCGAATCGAGTAAAATATTCATGCCCCAACTCAAGCATTCATATCATATCATATCCTATCATGTCATAATTATGTCGGTGCTGAAGAATAGGCAAGATGTGGCATGTTACCGATTCTTGTACTTTTCGTGACTTTTTCACGGAACAAGGTCCTTTGACCGGATCCTTTCAGAAATGACGATAGTTAGATATTGCTACTAGATGCCAGAGGTTCGATATGGTGCTAGGAATTTTAAGTCTAACGTACATAATACATATTTACACTATATAATCAGGAGAGGGACGGCCGTTTGTAACTTCTAAATCTAACCTCAACCCCTTAAACAGCCCTCAAGTCCAATCGTTCAACGTAGATAAGAGGTAAGTGGTGCAGGATCTACCGGCAATAAAGCCATGTTGACGGTCTGCCCTGGTAGGATATGGTTACCAGTCAAGTGGTCGATAATCCTATCCTATGACAGGGCGATAGTTACCGGAGCTACTCTAGTCACTTTTTCGGACGTGTCACTTTATATTCTTTCCATTCGGCCGGCAGTCTCTTCGCTAAAGGTTTTTTTAAGAACACTGTCAAAGGGAGGGTCAAGACTATTGGCTATTGCTAACTCTTTGAGCAATCTAGGTTGGAAGCCGTCTGGTCAACATGACTTGTTTGGATTTAGAGCTGCCTGTTACCAGGCCCTTGAGAACCTCTTCTTCGTGTATTTCAAAACCTGTTAACTTCGAGCCGACTGGGCGCTCTTCAACAGCTGGAATGCTGTAACAAGTCCTCATATGTGAACACACTGCACACAACACATTTCTTAAATTTCAAACAAAAAGTGCAAGCCTTCAAATTACACTTACACATAAAACGCAAAAGCTTTCGGGTTCTGTTTTGCATTTTTTGCAACATTTTTTGTCAGTTTTTCACTACGGTGCGACGGAGTTTTTTTAGCATGACTACGAGTCACATGTTTTTGGGCCAAGCAAATTGGTGTTTCATGGTGAATGATAAATAGAAAAATTTGAAATTATATTCGTTTAATGACGCAAGAAGACTGACGGAAACTTATGCTTACGGTACAAGCTCAAATTTCCGCATCCGATGCGGTCAACAAAAAAATTTTGTAATGGAAGTAGCACCTCACATAGAAGTTTAATTCAGTACAAAATCCCAAGCTTAGTTACCAAAGAAACCGGTTAATCCCAAGAGGCACTCAATGCATTTGCTTCCCATTTACTCCGAAATAATTGCAGAAAAATTGCTTGAAATATAAGAAAAACAGGTTCAGTACTACAGCCCACAATATACATTTTCGGCATGATAAAAACACTTCAAAGTAAAGGTTTATTGCGAGGCGAACAAGACTATAGATCAGCAGCAGCGTGGGCAGCAATGCTGGGGTTGTTGACGACCTCCCCAAGCTGGTCTAGCAGCTCTTTTCTGTAGTCATCGAAGTCTCCGTCGATTTCGTTGATGGTTTGATCCTCAATGACCCATAGCTGGCATTCGGTTTCCCTGATGAGCCGCTCGTCGTGGGATACGATGATGACCCCGCCCTTATAATCCACTATTGCCTCGGCTAAAGCGTCGATGCTCTCGATATCTAAATTGTTGGTGGGCTCGTCAAGAATGAGAACGTCTGGTGCCATGAGACAGAGCTCAGCGAGTGCCACACGAGCCTTCTGGCCGCCGGAAAGGTCTTTGTTCTTGATGGTGTGTGCATGGCTGGCCAGACCAAACGTCCCCAGGGCTTTGCGTGCCTTCTCATAGGGCAAATTGAAGAGTCGCATCAGGTACTCGGCCGGGGACTCCTCAGCGGTGAGGTGCTCTCCAGAATGTTGGTCATAACGTCCAATTTTCAGCCGATGGTTCCTGCGCACATCGCCTTCATTGGGTGTCAGTTCTCCCACCAACAACTTCAGAAAGGTTGACTTACCCACGCCGTTGGGCCCAACAATGGCAATTCTCGTCTCCAAATCAATACCAAAATCAACTCCCTTGAACAGCGGCTTATGACCTTCATACGAGAATGTTACGTTGTACAGGCCAAGTATAGGAGGTTGTAGAGCAGGAGGCTCGGGGAACGAGAACTTCACAATGTACTCTTGAGGGCGATCAAGAAGTTCGATTGGCCCATCTTCATCCTCATCCTTCTTACTCTTCATCCGACCTTTCTCCTGCTTGCGGGTCAGAGCTTCCTTCTGCTTCTTTTCCTGCAAAGACAATTTGATGAAGTTGTTTAAAAAAATACGATGCATGGAGTTAGTCTTTATTACCATGTGCCATCGCGTGAAAGTGAAACAATGTTCCTAGCAGTAGCTGAAGAACTCATTCCTTTTCAAATTGATTTTTAATTGTCAAGGCTTTAATAAAATTTAAATTCAATATTATTCACGTAGCATCTGCAAAAAAATGGCCTAATCAGACGTGCGGGTTTAGAAATCTGAGATTTACTGTGGTATATTTATACTCAATTCTGTTTTCGTGATGAAGAAACAGCACTTAGTTTGAAGCTTGCTAAATACTACGATTATTTTCTTAAACAACAAATTAATCGAGAAATTGAAGGCCATTAAAACTGACCAAAGAAATTTCACGACAATAAACGGTATTTCCACCAATAAAATGTACTCAACTTCCTTTATATTTTTGTTACTTTTGAATTCTAGGGCAATTTGAGCTTAGCAAACTGCACTAAGGATACATTTACACCATGAGGTAAGCAGCTCATTAAGACCAGGAACATTCAAGCTAATACTCACAGCCTGTTTTTTAGAAGATCCCGAGGCCTTCAGCTCTCTGATTCGCTTCTCTTGTTTTTCATAAGCTTTGATCTGCTCCCGGCGTTTTTGCACCAACATCTGAGAATTGGCACCTCAAGTAAATAGATGAACAAAAAAATTTGCTACAAACCGTGAAACATATATACACAATTTTCTATATCATAATGGGGTATGAACATATTTTAATTCTATTTAGGCAAGAAATTAATCTCACCTTCTTGAACATGGAATAGTTTCCTTTGTAGTAAAATAGTTTCTGCATGTCCAAGTGGATAATATCAGTGCACACGTTGTCCAAGAAAGACTGGTCGTGGGACACAACAAGTAGAGTCTTCTTCCAGCCCTGTAAAAAGTGTCATAAAATTAGCAATAAATGAGCGGTGAAGTAGCAAGCAATTACATAAATAAAAGCAAATAGATCTGTTAAATCAATCGCAAGTGTTAAGAAAACTAACCAAAGAAATCTTTTAAAAAAATACAGATTCGCAAGTCAGGAGCTAATTGCGAAACAAGACAACTAAGAGGCACGATTTTTATGAGGGGATTAACTTGAATTCTGAAGCTGAAATGAAAGTATTCATACACTAGACAACGGCAACACATACCTGGAGATAGTTGTCGAGCCAAATTACAGCATTTAGGTCGAGATGGTTGGTAGGCTCGTCCAACATTAGTAGTGTTGGTTCAATGAAGAGAGCCCGAGCCAGTGACACCCTCATCCGCCATCCTCCACTGAAGTTCTTAGTGGCTCGCTCCTGCATCTCACGTGTGAAGCCAAGGCCAGCAAGAATCCTAGATCGATCAAAGTCATTAATATTAAAGTAATGAGCAAGTTATCAGTGGAATGCTTGGCTATAGTTAGGCTCATGACAGGTATTAACTATATGTAGGCTCACAATGATGACCTGACTTGCAGCAAGAGCTGGATTTGCAGTTTAGTTCGAATTGAAATATTGCCTGCTTTTCAAATTTTACTGAAACCTAAAAAAAATTAGACGACACGTAAAAAGAAAACTTTTTGCGTCAGGGAGGTTGACTGTATAATTCCATTTTTCTTACTTTAAAATTATTTGGTATAAATGGAAAGAAGATTATGCACACCTGCGAGCTTTTGGTTCAGCTTGATCAGCACCAATGGCCTTAAGTTCATCATAGACCTCCTGTAGCCTATCCATGTTGACGTTCTTGCCCTTCTTGCTCAATTGCTGCTCAAGATCCTCCTTCTCCTTGATGAGTTCAGCGCGCTTGGTGTCTGAAGCGACCACCACCTCAATTGCTGGGGTGTCGTCTGCCACAACTTCCTGCACACATAACAAATATGATGCCATAAACTAGAGACTTGGAAATAAATATAATTAACATAGATTCGACAGTAACTGAAGGAAAAAATTACCAAAAGTTTTATGTTCCAGAAAAATATGAAGTGAAAAGATGAACCAGTAACGGAATAGATGTAATTCACGGTATGTTAAGCCTAGAATTTAACAGTATAATTTCTCTTAGAATATTCAGCTTTTAAGGGCTAAAAAATTGGGCGCCTTTTCCAGCTATTATAATGACTTAAAGGAGGTTCCATCCTCACCTGTTCACAGTAGAGTACATCAATGCTGGAAGGAATGTTCAAGGCTCGGATTTGAATGTGTCGTAGGAGGGTAGTCTTGCCATGACTGAGAACAGAAAGATGAGACCTTAAAAATCCCTGCATTATTGATATAGATGTTTGCATCACATAAATTCACACTACGAAACCAAGAACATTGGAATAATAATTATAATAATAATGACAAAATAAGGTACAACAATCCATGATGCTTTGCAAGTGATATAATTTGCACTTGTATGATTGTATTCTTTCAATAAAAAATAAATTCCATCTCAGCACAGTTAAATTCTAATATAAGATATAAAAAAATTAGGAACAGCTAAGTTAGGCAATTGTTGAGAAACTACCTAAGCTAGGTCCTACTTGCAAAAAATGTCCTAAAAGATCATCTTTTGATGCTTGATAATGAATTGGAGTAACCAATTTTGGCATTTAAAAAAAGCAAAAGATAGAGATTACTTGCACCAATTCTTTTGAAATTGATGATTAATATGAGGAAGATTTTGATGATCTGATTTCATTATGGAGCAACTCCAAAGACGATCTTTATGAGAGTAGCAAGGAATGTAAAAATTGGCAAAGAAAATATAATATGTAAGTAATATTATAAATAATGTGTATGTCATCAGTAAGATTCTTAAAATTATTTTATATTGATTTAGTACATATTTATATGAGAGGTCTATTGACAGGCAATTCAATGTTGAAATTAATGTCTTGAAATTACTTGTATTCTGATATTATTTTCAAAATTGCAGACAATGACATTAATTTATATATACTGCCATTGGCTTATTTCAAGCTGCAAATTGAACTTGACGTCTTGAAATCAGGAAGGTGTAATGAAAAAGTAAATAAATTTTTTTTTAACTTTGGAATGGAGCACTGTATGCAAAAATGGCTACCGGTATACTCTAATCCTTCGGTTAAAATTAACATAATGAATCAAACTTTTTCCTCATATTGAGCTGAAGAATCTCTTCAAGACAACAAACTGCAAAACTAGCATCAATGTGGAGTAGGAAAGATGAATAATTAATCTTTGCACGATTGAAAATTAAAACAGCTCTGGATATTACCACGAATATGATATCTTTAATAAGCCATCTCAATTGTGCATTGTGCACAATCTTCACCACACACTGACATGTTGCCTTCCAAATGAAAGGTACCGTACTATACTAAACTTCAAATACAATTTCTTATCATACCCATTGGGTCCCACTAGACCGTATCTTCTTCCATTGGCAATAAGAAGAGAAGCATTGTTGAAGAGTGTCTTGCCTTTAGCAGCAATGCTGAAGCTTTCAATCTATGAAAAAAATGTTCATCAATTAGTTTGCAGCAACAATGATATAATATAATTTCCTCATACATTTCTCTAGCATTAACCTCTAGTCTCTGAGAGCAAAGTTAGCTAATAAGCCATTTGATACAAATAGCATTAATGACAGTAAGATTGCTGGTAGACAAAAAGTAAGGATTCATGAATAATTATATCTCTATTTAAATAAGTGTATGATTAATTGAAAAAATAATTTACCACTGCATAAGCTGGTATTAATAAATCACCAAGGAATTTAAGGGAATGATGGAGCTGGACTCCAAAACGTTTTCAATATTGATATGGTGAACTTGCTTGGTGTTTTCGTTTAAATTCCTTGTGAACTTGCAATATAAGCAGACAGGTAGTATAAGTACTTAAATCACCCAAGAAATCACTAGTACCATTTTTTAACTTTTCAAATTAATATAAACCTGAACAGGCAAATATTTATTGAAATATAATTAAATTTGATTGGTGCACAGACCTTAATATCCACTGCATTCTCTAACTGCTCTTGTTGCTTGCCAGACTTCTCAGCTTGAGAAAGTGTGAAATTGTCACCCAAAGCAGATGTGCCTTGGCCACCTTTCTTGAGCATCAATTGAAGATTTTCTTCATATAACTGCTGTTGTTTCAATTTCTTCCTCTCTTTGTGTGACAGCTTCTTGAGGGCTTCTCTGTCTGAATAAAAAATACATTAGCCAGAGTATTGTTTAGTTAGATTTTAGCTTGAAAAAAAAAAATACTTTGAACTGCATAATATAGACTATCAAAGCAAAATAATAAATAATAGAAGTAATAAAGTCCCAAACATAGGTTGAGATTGGGGTTTCTAATGTCAATGGTCCAAAAAACATCAATTCAAATGCTGCTGAGTAGCATCACTGCTTTGTTGTAAGATCTCTTCATCATGAGTAGATGCATCCAGCTGAAAATGGGAGGATGTTTTATTAGCTTGACACCCTCCACGCTGAAGGGAATGAGCAATTATCAGAATCAAAAACACCAAAATCTATTATTTATGTTTAGAACTTGGAAAATCATGTCAACAAAATTCTTTAATGATATACCGGTATACTTCTTCTTCTTTATATGAATTTTGGCAAGAAATTTAGATGGTTGAAGACTTGAAGTACATAGTAGGTTAAACATGATATCTGTTGCAATTACCAAACCATACATAGGTAGTCATAGTAAACACACTACTCCCTAGCTAAAGACTGTATTAGAGCAGCTCAGCAGCACACTTTATGGAGTGACCAAGCCAATAAAATCATCTATGGAGATGACATATTGTGAAACTTAGTCAGTTAGTGAGAGTGCTATTCCCTACTTTGATCCAAATCTTATAGGAACAATTTTTCCTAGTAGGTAATCTACATTCTACATTTCTACAGGCTCTACAGCAAATGAAAATTTAAAATATATATATATATATATATTATAAATGTTACAATAATAAATTAACCTATGAGGACAACTTACAAGATTATCACTGACACTAACCTGCTTCTTTCTTTTTCTTTAGCTTTGTTTCTTCACTTTCGGATTCTTCAGATTCTTCATCAGTAATTACGGGTGATAAATTCTCTTTAGCACTCTCTACAGCCTCTACAGGAGCCTCCTTGATAATCTCTTCTTCTTTGTTTGTAATTTTAAGGTTTGATATCTTCTCAGACAAGGTTTCTGGCTCTGATATTTTGACTTTCTGAGCACCAGATTCAACCTTCTCAATTGTGTTTTCAACATTATTTTCACTGCTCTCACAAGAACCTTCACTTTTCTCCTCTTTTTGCTCTTTCTTAGTAGATTTTGCAACATTTTTAACTGAAACCTTTAGTCTTAGAGAAGAACCATCATCATCTTCATTTTCTTCATCATCACTCTCTTCATATGCTTGCTTCTTCTTCTTACTCTTTCTGGATTGTTTATTTTGATTTTTCTTGACAATAAGAGGAGCTGTATGCAATTCAGTTTCCTCTTGACTGATCTTTGCATTGAAATCAGGCAAATCCGCATCACTCTCATCATCCACATCAGCTTTTTTATTTTTCTTCTTTTTTACTTTCTTTGATTTACCTGATTGAACCGGTGTTTCTATTTCTTCTTCCTCAACTTTAGCATTGAAATCTGGTAAATTTTCTTCATCGCTATCATTAAAATTATTCTTCTGCTTGATTTTCTTCTTGTCTTTCTTCTTCTGTTTTTGACCAGCCGTTTTAGTACTAGAGTTAATTGATTCTTTCACGGATTCTGTTTCTTCATCTGACTGCTGTGCAACTTTCATTGCTTTTTGCTGCTTACGCGATAATTTAGCGGTTTCGCTCTTCACGTCTTCGTCATCTTCAGAATCGTCACCTTTTCTACCTTTTTTGCCCTTCTTAGGCGCCATGGCTCAATATTAGTTATTCAGAGATTACAGTTTAATGAGTTTATTTCGTACTATTTGTTAGTAAGTCATACATGCACATTGCACAACTCCACGTTCACTTTTCAGAACTTAGAAGAGCGATTGCGTTAAGTACCGGCGAGAAGCACACTTAGTGTACAAAGTAAATTACCAAAAGCTCGTAAGCCTCCGCTGAATTCTAGTAACATCTACTTTACGGTGTTACTTATACGTCCAGTGAAGTTTTGGTATGTAGGCGGCACAAACTACTGCATTTTTGAATTAAGTAGAAGTTGTTGATTTCGTGTTTTTAAAATTATCAACATCTAGAAGGCGGGTTGTTTAAGTGAAATTCTCATCACGCTTACCTATTTTCACAATGTTACCGTCGGCACTCATTTGCATAATTCTAATGGAATTTTATTTTTAAACAGCTTGTTGCGTCATTATTTTTTAGCCCTACATTTTATCACTACGGATAAATTTTTTAGTGTAAATTAAAGGCATCGTTGTAGACTCATCGGACAATTTTTTCTGTCGGTCTGCAAGCTTAAGCACGCATTGCAGTGGCCTAAAATTTATCACACACAACTGAACACAACTTGATCAAACTTACTTGTGCATTTAAAATGACTTAACGGTGATATTATTGTCGTGGTAATTTTATTCGATTTCAGCTAAACTCACGAGTGATACGGCGGTAGCGGCCAGAATACGCAGGCAGCCTGATATATCGTCCAACTAACTGTAAAAAAGTTAATAAAACCTTAAAAAGATACCTACGAAACCCATGATCACCACCATAATTGGGTTTAGAAAAATTAAACTATTTTTACCACTCATGCGATACGACTACTCGGACACTAATGACTCTAAACTTTGTCCGAGACGTGAGTTGGCGCCGAAAATTTGTCACGCAGCTAAAGCTACGGCCAGCCTAAAAGCGTTCACGCTGACGCAAGCAGACGCTCGCGGATGGTGCGGTATCATATCCATGTATTTCTACCGGAGTGGCCACATTTAAAGCGTACACGGTACAGCAAGAAGCTGTGTCCAACAGACACGCTGCGAATCGCAATGAAAAAACATATTACTCTAGATAAGTGTCTCGGCGCGGGGCCTCGCGTTCAATGTCCTTGAAGCAGCCGCGAGATGAGGGTATTTGAGGCATTGCTTCATTCAATTCATTCGGCGATGGCTAGCTGCTAACAGCTAAGTGCTCTCACCCACAGCACCGCGTCAGTATATACATATACTCTATTAAAAGGCAAAGTAAAGGAGTCAAAAATAAGTTTATTTGGATTACTTCTTATACTAAAAAATTGCACATGCGCTTGATTTCTATCTGTATTAGGGTTGGACTCGCGACGATTGCATCATATATATATAACCTATCAAAGTATCCATCTAATCTCATTCAAATGGATTCCAAAATAAATAATACAAAGCCTATTTTGGATTTCTAATTTATCCTTTATTTCCATATAGACCCACTGTCAATGAGAACAGCTGTACTCTTGCTGACATTTATTCACACTGACTCGCCGTAGGTTGCGCGGTCCAGCGTCTATAGTGGGGCCACTATATGCGCAGCGCGGCGCCGCTCTACTTGAAGCGTCAGACAGCGTCAACGCTTTTAGTCTGGCCGTAGCTTTTAAGGTTTTAGTATGGAATGGACCTCATAGTATTTATCACTTTAGTTTTTATCATTCCGTCATTCATCATTACACTGTTGTACACATAACGTTATTGTACTGCAATACAGGGACTTAAACATAACTCTGTTGTATCGCGTTCCTCTAATGCACAAGTGACTATGCTCTATCCCATTACTCTGATGCAAAAATAACTATTTTCATCACATTAAACTGACGTACGTAAACCTCTGTGGTACTGCGTTACTCTGATTCACAGATTAACTGTTACATCGCGTTACTCTTCTTAGGTGCCATGGCCCAATATTAGTTATTCGCAGTTAATGTGAGACATATGTAAATCTTGCCATCAACTTCTCATGTTTTAACTTTGCCAATTAAGCACGGGCTCGCCTTTAACTTCTAATGCGTCAACTTTACCAAATAAGCACAAGCTTGCCTTCAACTTTTCACGTGTCAACTTGTCATAACTGTCCCTAGACTATTTTTTACAAAATTGAATATTACTGCCTCTGACCTCTGAACCGTTAAAATTAAAACTGTATTTTTACTGTCCAATTTATGCCTGTATTTGTGATTTGATGTTGAAAGTTATTTTATAAAAACATTTTCTCAGCGTTTTACTTAATTATAAAGTTAAAATCATTGCGCTTGGAAAACATCTATTCAGTAACATGATAAAGCATTTTTTGGCTTGAAGGTGAGTTTCATATTTGAAGTGGAGTCGGCCGATGATGTATTTGTCTTTGGAAGCAAACGCTCCTCACTGTTTGAGGCCATTCGCTGGTTCCGAGAATAGGAACGTATTGTTAACAGGAGTTATTGGTTAGTTCTCGGTTTATTTACGTACATCAAAGTATTTTGACTTATTTCTTTCTATAACATAACATAGTGATGTCGGCGCTGAAGTGTAGGCCTGATGTGGCCTGTCGCCGATTCTTTTAGATCCGTTAAGTATTGAAGGAATTATGAGCGGCCCAGTTGCGCGAGTCCGCAGGCGAGTCCGCTGGCGAGTCCGTAGAATTGTCGATCGAGTTCTTGAGGACCGGCCGAAAATTTGTCCAGGAGTTGCCTGCGCGCATTCTGCAGTCGTGCTTCCTATAATATATGCATGCAATCTTAAGGCACGAGGAACAATTTTTTTGTGTTACACTGTCCTAACAGTCTCAATAATTTTTACCATTAGTTTATAAACCAATTATCCTAATATTCAAGACAATGCTTGTCAATATTTATTCGAATAAGTGCATTGCTGAATTCTCGCAATCGATACTTAACCCTTTACGCCCTGGCGTGACGAATTCGTCACACAAAAAATAAAAGCTTCTACCGAGAGTAATCACATGTTTGGAGTCTAGCCCGCAAGTGTGACGATAGCGTCACATGTTGTGAACTCGTTCGAACGACGTTCGATATAATCTTTGCCTGACTGCCAAGTCAAACTGCTTTGAGAATTACCATGAATAATGTGTCTACTCAAATTTTATGCCGAGTGGAATGCTAAAATGGAAGCTTATTTTCAATAATTTGTCATTTGGTCATGAGGAATTTTTGTGCTATAGCTTTTATGACGAAGGATTTATATGCGATGCATGTGCTTAGTATACGGTTCTATCAAATGTTTATGTAATACAGTTCAGTTTCGGTGCTTGAATAAATGTTTAAAAAAAATATTGTTTATATAACTCAAATGGACACCCGGATGTGACGAATTCGTCACATATTATTATTTTTTTAATTATATATAAAAATTATGATTTCAGTGCATAAATTATCTATTCACCACTTACTAGACACGTTAGAAGTAATTCAGATTTTTTTTAACTTTCGAAACATAATTCAGTGCGTAAAGGGTTAACTGATAATTGTTTTTTTTTTCAATTATTCGAATAGGTGAAGTGAATCTGTGAATTCTACGCCAAAGAAAAATGTGTGATGGCAGCCGATTGTAAATTTTTGAGGTTGATCCATTGCTAACCAAAATCTACGTTGAAAAAATCAAGTTATTTTACCTCGTGGTTCCAATCAAGACTAATAACATTTTTAAGAACATGGTTTCGCACACTAAATCCAAATGACTTCAACTGTTGTGTTCAAAATTAACATTGTTCTACTTTTTCAGATTTGCAGAGACTGTTCTACGTCCAGCAAACATCAAAATTCCAAAAGAACCATTTTCTCCGTTCGAAGTTGAGCCCCCTGTGTTTACGTACAAGTTTTGCACCGCACGTTGCAATGGTGAGGCAATTAAATTGTTAAAAATGCTTGTGATAAGTTTACTTTATTTTAACTTGTATAATAAAATATTTTTTTCCATAATATTTGAAATTTATATAAGTATATTCATTTATGCCTTTTCTGCAGGCGCAGGGCCGGCATAGTGTCAAAGCAGAGACTGTTAGATTTCTTTCAGTTCATTTTGAGTCCTATTATTATTATTAGTAGACCAGTGAAGTATCGTGGAGACGAAGATTTTTATACTTGAGATATTGGTTTATATCTAGCATAGATAGATTAAAAACGAACGGATTATAAAAAATTATGGCTTGTCAGTTGTCACTGCTGTTGGCTGTGGCATTCTACAGGGTGCATAAAGCCTACTGGCTACTGGTCATGGAAAACCTAGAAAGTCATCCATAGTGGCAAACCAGAGATTTTTTGGAATCAGTTCATTTTTAATTTTCCTAAAACTCAAGATTTAAACCAATTTCTTAAGTATGATAATGCTGGTATCCATGATACTTTACTGGTCTACTTATAGGACTCAAAAATGAACTTGAGGGAGAGTCTAAAAAACTCTCTGCTTTGCCACTATGCATGATACTTTACTGGTCTACTTATAGGACTCAAAAATGAACTTGAGGGAGAGTCTAAAAAACTCTCTGCTTTGTCACTATGATTAGTCATCAATCACTCATCAGTCATCATTAGTCATGGAATTTGATTTTTAATTTTCCAGGCCTGGAAAGTCTTTGGACTTCATTTCATGTTATGGAAAGTCATGGAATTTGCAAATAAATGAAGAAAAAAATTAAGTGTTTTGCAGAGCAGTTCCATTTGGAAACAGGGGAGAAAAATGGATTCATAATAAAATTGTAAGATCAAATAAATATACTAGTGGATGCGTAGCCTTAGGCTTGATACAAATTACACATCTTGTACATGTTCTGGCAAAGTAGGTATGGTTCTGCTGCATTGAGTGATTGACTAGGGTAAAAGCGGTATATTCCAACATCGTAGGTAATTCCGTCACTTCTCTAGTTTTTCCTTTATATTAAGCTTTGTTTTAGTTCCATGCGTTCATTGATGGTTGAAATGGTGACGTCATACATTTGCGTGTCGAAATACTGCAAAAACACTAGGTCTTGGCCATCTAGTGGGAAAATATTGAGATCCAAAGAGAGACAATGCATGCCACCTGGTGAGAACATCGAAAAATGTGTCCAATTTGACAGTTGACGGTGTTGACCTTGCTCTACCAAATAGTGAATAACTGTTTTTATAGGAAGAATATTATGGTTTGAGACGTTTAAATACGTCTGTGAGACTGTGAATATATTAGGAATCCTTTAAGCATAGTGGCAAAGCAGAGAGTTTTTTAGACTCTCCCTCAAGTTCATTTTTGAGTCCTACCTATAAGTAGACCAGTAAAGTATCCTGGATACTAGCATTATAATACTTAAGAAATTTGTTCAAATCTTGGGTAAATGAGTAAATTAAAAATGATCTGATTCTAAAAAAGCTCTGGTTTGCCACTATGCCTTTAAGTAAACTTGTATTCACTGATTTCAAGTCATAAATAAATTAATAGATGATTAAGTTGAGTGATGGATTTAGACCCATCAAAACCTAATCCGACACAACTTGAATTGGACACACACAGATCCTTCCAAGCTTTGTACAAAAATTGAAATTTGCTTAATTAAAAGCCTAATAGCTGTTAATTAAAACGTAATTAAGTAGTGTTCAATATTCGTTAGTGTTCTAATTCAAAGCCGTGTTGTATCCCAATACAGCTCACACAGCGAACGGAATTCAAATACGTTGATGTCGGCATTACGTATCAGTTAAATTTGAAGCGCTGACGCAATACGACTCACCACGTGTCGAATATTGCCACACACAGTGACGGAATATAGGGATTTGGTAGGTTTCCATTCTAAAGGCTTTTTAATAAATATGGCAACATTTTGTGACGTTTCATCGTTGCTGATGCGTAGTGAAGTGTTTTGAGAGTCACGTGAAGGCAACAGAACTTACGTAATGCATACATTTTTTTATAGTTTTTCATTTCTCGATGCGTCCTTAATGTGTCGGAATATACCGCGTTTACCCTACCTACTCTCTTTTCAGCTAGCCTTAACATTCAAACTTTCAAAGATTACTACCTAACAATTAGCCTAGCTAGAACCAGGTCATGGAATTATTTTTCTAAAAACCGGTAGGGTGAACACACCATATTCCGACACCTTAAGGACGTATCAAGAAATAAATGGCCATAAATAGATCACCGTATGTGCGATTCGAGTTCTGATTGGTTTAGGTCACTCTCGAAACACCACACTATGTGCCAGCAATGATGAAACGTCACATCACAAAATGTTGCCATATTTATTTAAAAGCCTTTAGAATTCAAATGTACAAAATTGCTGAATTCCAACACTGTGTGTGACTAAATGCAGCATATTGTGAGACTAATTCTGACAGCGCTTCAAAATTGTAATTTGTAATTCCGACACTCTGTGTCGGAATACGACACCCTGTGTCAGAATTAGTTTTTATGTGTCTAAAACTGTCTCTTAAATCAATCGTCTATTAATTTATTTACCACTTAAAATCAGCAAATACAAGTATACTTGAAGGATTCCTAATATATTCACAGACTTATTTAAAAGTCTCAAACTATAATATTCTTTCTACACAACAGTTTATCACTATTTAGTAAAGCAAGGTCAACTATCAACTTTCATACATGTTTCAATGTTCTCACTAAACTGGCTTGAACTTTCGCTCTGCAGATCTTGAACATTTTCTGCTAGACCTAGTGTTTGCTGAAATCTTCTGCGCAATAGTATTACCGTACGTCATATTTCAACCATCTACACATGCATGAAACTTCAATCAGGCTTAATATAAAGGAAAAAGTTGATGGGTGTCAGAATTAACCACAGTGTTGGAATATAATGCGCTTACCATATGCACCCTGATTCTAATAGGTTGTTTGACACTTTTTTGTAAATGGTGTAATTTTTTTGTTTGGTGTAAATCTCTATCCATTAATGTAGGTATATAATCCTTGAACCAGTGATTTGACTGATTTCTGTTAGTTGAGGCTCTTGATAGTGAAACACGATGTTTCTAGGACTGTGGAGTTTTTTTTATACCTGTATGCATTTGCTGAGCTGAATTGTGAGTGAAACTGTGAAAGTGTTGTTAATTTTAATAATCCTTTGGTCAGCAGAAATATAAATTACCATCAAATAAATAAATGGCATCCATGACACACAAGTTGCCACTCAGCAGAATGGGCAGATATTGAACTCTATGAGCAGGCTCATCACTGAAAACTGAATAGCACTGGTCAGAAGTTGAGAATGAATATTTTTATGGCTTGATAATGAATTAATAACCAATAATCTGTTTTAATTGGCCTTGGAAGTTGCAGTTCAGTTTTGTTTCTTAAATCGGTAATATTTATTTAAGTCTGGTGACATGGGTTGAGTGCTCTGGCAATGTTATCTGTATTGGCAGTAGCAGAAGATCAAATTTCTGTCTGCTACTGAAACAGATTGAAATATTCCAAGTTATTACTGATATCACAGAGCTGAGTGCTCCTAAGTGAAAGGTTTTAAATAATTTTTTAATTGCTTGGCTTCAAAGTGTTGAGCAAAAAAAAATTTAAGACTGTTCAGTTCTAATTGACTGATTTTTAAACTAGTTTAAAAAATTATTCACTATTCTATGGGGATAAATGTTGGGCCTGCACTGGCTGCACACACCAACAGGGGAAGGTTGACAAAATTTTGTGTATTAATGACACAAGCTGCTACTAAATGAGCTTCTACACGAGGCGGATTAGCTGCAAGTTTTCACACCCCCAGTTTTGTCAGCTGAAAGCTTATACATGAGGATAGTATTTGGCAAACAGGCCACAGGTGCCAGTGCATTGGTGCAAGCTGTTGAGCAAGGTTAGTATATGGTGGAATAGGGAATGTTATAATAATGACAAGTTTGAGTTGGCATTTGATGAATTAGTTGGTGGTATAGTTGCCACTCTTGCTGAGGTGAAAAACTTTGTAAACCAGCATAGTGTGGGTGAGAGACCTAATGAGGTCTTGTTTGAGTTTCAAAACACTACTTCCTAAATCAGTTTTTATTGTAATGTTCATTGGGACTTACATTCCACAGTAGATTGTATTTTTGGTATATCTATATCAGTTTAATATCATCTGAACCCCTTGCTGTTATTAGAACCATCATTGCTAGAGCAAGACATAATTCCTAACATTAGATATACTTGCCTCAAGCAGGATAGAGAGCTGCACACCATGGCTGCCACAGCGCTACTATAGAGCAAATTAACAACTCAAACTGCTTCAGACACATGCATCAGCAACTCTCCTCTAAAAATAAATCTTTACAATATTTGGAGTGCAAATACCTGCAGCTAATGTAGTTAGCCTTGTGTATAAGGCACTTTAAGCACCTTTAGCTACCGGCAGCAGGCAGCAGCTGCTGAGTATCAGAAAGACATTAAATGACTTGACATCAAAAGCAAGTTACCAGATATCATTTTTCCCAAAGTCCATTTTGTTATTTTTTCCATTTTCTATTCATAGTGTTTGACACTTTTCAGCCTTTTTTCATACATTGATGAATAGATAAACTTAAGGAAGTTGGAAAGTTTTTGGTAAATACACCCATTCCTATGGCCTTTCTCTATTTATTTTGAAATTGGTAGTGGGGTGGACATAATAATAAAGTAATCTCACAATATGTAACAATATATTTCTTGTGTGCAGGCCAAAAGGACAAAGAAGGTTGGTATTGTTGGCAAATATGGCACACGTTATGGTGCCTCTCTGCGTAAGCAAGTCAAGAAGCAGGAGGAAAGCCAGCGCATCAAATATTTCTGCAAGTTCTGTGGAAGGGTAAGTCAGAACAATAATGGTTGTTATATTCAAATGAATGAAGTAACCTACATTCTAAAAATTGGTTTGTACATGGTGGATGCACGCACATTTATCCTGGCAGTTGCTTTAGTTGCCATTGTGCAATATTGAAGGTGTGGGCTGCTAGAATTGGCACACAACTTCATTCCATTTGTGCCCTGACTGTAAGCATTTTGTCTTGATAGTCAAAATGATTCTTGTTTCCGTAGTGCATCACAAGTGTGAAGTGTGCTCCCATCTAGAATGTAGAATGTATTCATTTAGCAGTTGGTCTTTTATAATCTATATGGTATTGGTCAACATCATGAAACCTCAATTTCAATGAGTCGTGCAAAAATTTTGCGAGCTAATCATTTTTCAAACATTTGGTTGTTGTATTGATTTTTTGAGGACACAATTTTCCAGGAAAATATATCAGCATGAGTAAAGAGATGTTATTCAAGTTCATACAATACTTACTTGAACAGGTTATATATATAGTAATGAAAAATAATTTGATTGTACTATGTGCTTTTCATGAAAATTTTTGTTGTGACGTCTTTGCTTGGCTGCAGGCCGCAGGATTAATAAGATATCATTTGATATCTTGCAGTACCAACGTGCACTACTATGTAATTTAAAATAAAAAATTTTCTTTTTATTTTCTTATGCTTAAGTAAAACTGAAAGTGATGCTAAAGTGTGAATATATATATCTGAGGCTGAGCCATTTGTTTTGTGTGGCAGCTGGAGATTTGAGTGTGAATGGATGGATATGCGCTGGTGGAACAAGAAGAGAAAAAAATGTTTTAAGTGTGACTGACGTGTGAAGGGAACTGCAGAGCCCCTGGCTCCTCTATATTGACAGGTCAGGATGGTGATTCTAATTGAAGAGGGGGGGGGGGGTTAGGAGAACCAAGTAGGAGGAAACTGCAGTGATTGTAGGCTTGCCAGATCAACTGTAGTTCTGATTTTGAGTTGATTGGAAATTTGTGTTGAAATGAGAGTCCATTCTTTAAATGTGAATGTATTTTCCTAAGGATCTCGGAAAAAAATTGATAGGTTGTACTGTTTTTTTGGGAGGTGTGCTTGTTGAGTATGAATTCATGAAAATGAGCTGCGTGATTGACATGCGCGCTGGTCTGACCTAATTGCTACTTTCAATAAAAAATAAAATTCTTGGAGCATTTCATTGTGTAGTGCCACCCAACTGATCTAATATTCATTCCATCAATATTTTCATTTCTTTTAGACATTGAATTTTGTTTGATGATGGTATGAGCGTATAACTCGAATGATTAGTGTCATAGCCGAGGTCGGATTTGTAATGGATTCTAGTAGCCGATGCATTGCACGAATTGGCGTGAGATAAAGCTCGCTAGAAGTAGATAGGACTAAAAATTCCCGTTGGGCTTGGACGTCAGCGGCGTTGCAATAGCGGCTCTTTTACAAATCAAGCTCACGCTTTGGCTCCCTATATCAAGAATGTGGCAGGTTGGGGGTGTTCACTATTGGTTTTGTGACGGGTAGTTGTGTTTGATATGTTAGCGCCGTGGAGTATTGGCACTAGAGCAGTAATAAAAAGTGCTCAACACGATAAGTTGCAAAGGAATGTGTCGCCTGTATTTTCCCATCTGTCTATGTGTCTGCACCAATCACTTAATTCATGAGTGTATCCTTCAATAATCTTTATTTTCTGAACTGTTACGATAACGAAGTTGCAACGAATGCATAGGCATATGACTTTATTTTTTTTCTGATCACAGGACAGTGTGAAGAGATTAGCTGTGGGCATCTGGCGCTGCAAGCCATGCAAGCGAACCACCGCTGGGGCTGCGTACACCCTGCACTCCACTGCCTCCGTCAATGCCGCGTCATTCATTAAGCGCAGCAAGGAAATGCAAGAAAAGGACTAATAAATTTGGGCCTTGCCCCTCGTGAATTAAAGATTTCTCATTTCTTCCTTAATATCTAATTTCAAGCGCTCTATTCCAAAATAATTGATGCATCGTGCCAATCGTCTTGCCTCAAGATTTGTGGTCGATAAGTTTGAAAATCCATTCGGAGTGAAACGAAATAGTTGCCGTGTTGTATGGCAAATTTCTCAGAACAAATTGGATGCTATTGATATGCTTATTCCAATTCTGAAGTGTTCAGGCAATATATGCCACTGCAGCATCTCGACATTTAATGTCCAGGTACTTCACTCCTCCTTTAATCCTCCACCATCGTATGTCACTCTCAGGAACATAAATTTCAACTCAAATTATACTTAAACTATCTAGTGTAGTAACATGAGGACGTTTCTACGCGACAGAGTGAATATCTTGGAAGAAATCGTACGTGGCGGCAGCCATCAGTGCTAGTCAATTAACTAATGTACATAAATCATAATTTAAAATTGATAGTAAAACAATTTTTGGGCCACAGTTAAGTTATATTAAAAGTTTTGATCAATAAGCTGATCAAACTGATAGTATAGTAAAGGTAACTTATTTTTCACTTGGTAGAGAAATCTACGTGCACTGAATTTCTATCGCTAGACTACCGGACACGGCAGTAACGCAATTCTATCCAAATTATGGATGCCGGCAGTTGTATGCCTTCCAAACGTTGTAAACAGCAGCAATTCTGTTTCACGACTCCTACAGGGTACCAAATGTAAGGAATGATGGTCTATAGTAACTGTCTAAATCTTCTCTACCACAGAGTCTAATCCGTCTTGCTGTGTGCTCGTAGCGCTTTGAGCCTGTGCAGCAGCGGTGGATGCGAGTGATGCCACGCTGAGTAGAGCGGATCATGCACGGGAAAACCTAAGTTATCCTTATTGAGCTTCACGAGCGCCGACTGAAGTTCCTCCTTGTATCCCAGAGAGACTGCGAACTCGTCCGCTTGGTACTCGTTGCGGCGACTGAACATGTTCATCAGGAACGACAACAGCTGGTAGGAAGAAACCAACATCATACGGCAACTGATCTAATCATCAGCCAATTATTTAAGACATAGCAGATACAGCACGAAAAAAAACTTTCGAATTCAATAATATCAACATTTTTCCGCTCTGAAAAGCTTAAGAAACTCGGCATATGATTGTGTTCAGTGACTTGAGGAGCCTCGGATTTTATGGCGTCTGTAAGCGCCAGCGACCACTCACTTCGTTGTAAGGGGCGAAGACGTACTGCATGACAATGATGAGTCCCAGTAACGCAGGCTGAGTTGAGAAGCCGAAAGCTCGGTACAAAGGCTTGTATTTGTACAGAGCACCAAAGACACCGAAGATCATGAAAAGGTTTACCTGTAAAATAAGTTAGGTTATTTAAAGACACGTGAATATTTGCTGAGCAGCATTCCTGCGCAAAAATGAGGAAAAAGTCAATTGAATGAGGTTTGAAATTAAAATCTTTCAACTAATCAGGTGAACAGCTGCAAAATTAACTAATTACACATTGATATTGCTCGAAGTCACTTCATACTAGAATAAATTTCTGAACATTTAGAATTAATATTTTCCATGAAATGTACGAGTTACCTGTGAAATGACAATTCCCTTGAGCACGTGGTTGAGCTTCCAGTGTCCAAGCTCATGGCCAAGCACCGCCATGACTTCGATAGTGTTGCATCCTGTCTTCTTCTTGACGAGCTCCTTCTGCTCCTCGCCAGCTTCCTCCGTGTTGAGAGGCGTGTAGTCCTGCAGCAGTGTGTCGTACAGCACAATGCGCTTGTTGTTGAAGAAGCCATAGAAGTAGGCATTGCTATGCGCTGAACGCTTCGAGCCTGCAATAATTAGGCACAATTGAATGTTGGAACGATTATCCTGCTTGGAAGTTCTTTTCTGGAAAGAACTTACAAAAAGTTGCCTTGTTCACGAGATCATCGTTAATTGCCTGTAAATTTAGTACACGAATATACTGCACAGATGTAAAAAAACCTATCTGCATAGAAAGTTTCATGGTATACACACGCTTAAAAGTTTGCAATACATCAGGGAAATACTATCATCTAATTATTGAACTAGCATTACCGTATGTATAAAATTACATTTGTAACGAGATATTTTTTCTTGGCAAGGGGAACATTTTCAACTGCCTCAACAACTCCAATGAGGTAGTACGATTGATTAGAAATATCTCGGCCTCCTTAAAAACGCGTGTCGAACTGCACTCGTCTGTGTTAAAGTTGAATCGAAAGGAGCTCAGCCTCTTCAGCCCAGAATAAGGTAGAATGTAGCAGGATAATCTCACCCTCGACAGTTCGATGCAAGATAATCTCGATTTCGGTTAGTCTAAGCTTCGCATATTTCAGGAGAACATCACGCCTCAAAAGTTTGTTGCAAGATAACCTAGCTCTATGTTAGCGAAATGTAAGTGGGATTTTTAAATGGAATCCAACTCTCAACAGTTCGCTGCAAGATGATCTCGATCTCAGCCAAGCTCAGTAGAATGTTCCAAGAAACCGTCACACTCTCAACAGTTCGTAGCAAGATCATCGCCATCTCGGTATGCAAGAGGTATTATGTATGATGTTTCAAAAAGAACCTCACCCTCAACAACATAAAGTTTGGTAAGAGGGAAGCTGATGCGTGCTGCAAGGGTCTCAATTTTGGTCCTGAGCTCTCCTTCAGGAAGAGGCTCATACTTGTCGAAGAGAGGAGCGATGAGGTCGGGGTAGATGGTCATGAAGAACATGAACACCCCCGTCGTGAAGAGCCACAAGTAGAAGAAAAAGTAGTCACCTCCAGCCTGGAATAAGAAGCATCATCCTCAACACCAGTCGCTTCTCTTTTCTAATGCTCGTACATTGTAACTATCAACAAGCCCATATGTAGGTATCAAGACCAAGCTCATTAGGTATATGATGCTACTGGGAAGATGTTACCAACACATTTTTTCAAGAAAAATTATTTGCTAACAATTCTAGAGGAATGCAATAGTTGTCTTTTTTCATTCTTGTAAAATGAATCTGAATGCGCTAGGCAGCTAGCAGCTAAACTGGATACCCTTGCTATGAATTCTAGAGGAATGCAATAGTTGTCTTTTTTCATTCTTGTAAAATGAATCTGAATGCGCTAGCAGCTAAAACGGACACCCAACAACATGGCAATCTAAATGCACTGGACAATCTAATGTGTCTTACAATCCCTGGCATAGGCCCACGCCGTCAGCATGATATACAAATTAGTATCGCTTCAAGCTGACAATGCTCAGATAAATTATAGTTAATACTACCGATAGCCAAGAGTTTCTTCGAAATTCAACATCAATAATTTTTTTTCACCTTGATTATGTACACCAGTCCTGCAACAACTGGGGCAGAGATGATCTGAGTCAGTGCGAGTTTCTTCAATTTGTCTTTTATGAAAAATCCAGGAGTCTGAAAAGGAAAATAAAATTTGTACAATTTTTTTGCACCAATGGGTAGCATATAATTTGGGAGCCTTCTGTGTATAAAACCGAATCACAATTAGAGTTTCTACAAATGAAAATGTTTGAAACATTGAGGAAAATTTAATTAAATGATGCCCTGCTAGTACTTCCAGGTAGCAATACATAATATTGCAGATAATACTAATAATGCTGCAATTAAAAAAAATTGGACATTCCAAACAAAACCCTAAACAAAATATCATTAGCTATGAGTAAATCATGGTAAAATAATATCCCATTAAAACATCAACCCTTGTTGAAAAATTAAACAACAAACCTGTTTATTAAATCCATGCTTCTGCTCGATCTTGAAAGTGAAGTAAGCAGACCAGGGGAGGTTGAGCAGAGACGTGATGCCATTGCAAATGGTGAGAAAGGCGATGGTTTGGAGGATTTCATTGTTGTCAGGCTCGAATCCGAGAGCCGCGATGGTGCTGCCTGCAGTATCCCACAGCCATGGCAGTCCTCCGTACACCATCACTCCCTGTTGTGTGTGGTCAAATGATCCAAATTTCAAGTAACAATAGGAGAGTGAAGTTGGCACTATTCAAAGAAACATGACTACAAATTATACCATTCTGGGATATGAAGAATAAAATACAAATAAAACATACCACTGACCTGGTACCTACATATTAATTCATTTATTTAGCTCAAAAATTTCTTTCAATATTCCAAATAAAAATTGAATTTTTAAGAATAAATATTAGGTAAATGAGATAATTCTGTCCTAGATCTGAAAAATGCAACTCACAGTGCCTAGTATTTGGGAGTATATACTCTCAGCAAGGCCAAATTTTCCTTTATCAATGGCATAGGCTCTTGCTTTGTCAAAGGTTTCTCTGTCGATCACACCACGCAGCTCAGCTGGCACAAGCTTGTTCTTTTCCACAACACATCGCTGCACAGAAATAAAATAATTAGTTCAAAATTAAAAGAAAAGCACAGCCAAAACATTCATACAAAGACCAACTGCAATGTGACAATTACTGATTTGCAGATAACCAAAACCATGAGATGTTCAGTTGATGTCATTAGAGTACCCAGCTAATGAGATAATCAAGATGTCTTCCAGCAAATAAGATTGGTAACTAATAATTAGGAAGTTATATACCCACATTGATGCAGCAGACACTGACAATTCCATCAAGAAATCATTAGTATTAAATAAATCCAAATTGATCCTCAGGGATGGTTTTTAAGTACGGATCCATTCTAGTAAATCAATTATGATAAAATTCACCACATTGAAGTTGACAGTGACTTTTGAGAATAAGAAAATATGACAGATGTGCAAGCTATGCTCTATGCTTATCTTTGTTGCTATGAGCAACAAAGAAAATACATACCAGTTAGTCAGTTACTCATTTTTACAATGAACATCAAAGAGTACAGGCATTGGAGTTTAATCATCTATCGAAATTATGATAGACAAAACTCACATTGTAGTGATTATATAAATATCTCAGATCATTTTGGTGATGAGGTATGTATATATGCTACTTATATTGACTAGGTAATGCAGTGCAGGCAAATTTTGCTTGCTTTAAAATCTGTCCACTCTGCTTGTCGCTCTGTCAATCACATGCATCTATTATCATATCAATATGTTTAAAGTTTAAATGTTAGTAGAAAGAACGTCAATGTTAATTATTCATTAAGAAATAAAACATTTAATGTGATGTAACCAGGTGGGTATGTTAATTTCAGTCAATTTGTCTACAATTTTCAAACATTAATAGAATGTAATTTTTATATCATAAATACAATAATAGTAACGAGTACGAATAATATTATCCATAATCTCAAATATCTATTTTGCTAAGTACCTATTCATAACTTCAAACCAATGAGAACAATTGATGGAGGCGCTGGACTGTTTATCACAGTGCTGCAATATATTTCTTAAAACAAATCTATATATAGAGGTATACATGTAGATATATCAAAACTGTCAAAGAAGAAGGAATGATGAAAAAATCCAAAATATTAAACCTAATAATAAACTGCTAACAATATAACCAAGAACAGGAATAGATAACAAATTAATTTTGAAGATCACACAAATCTAATAACTGCCACAAAAAGTAAACCCCCAAAAATGAACTCTTGTAAAAAGATACAATGAAATAATGAGTACTATCTGTAAATTTCTGGGAAATTGTAAAATTCTTTGAAATGAACCTTATTTGACAGAAATTTGGATGTTCAACCAAAACATTTAGTAATCTTGCTGACACAATCACAGATCATGCCCAGTTGCTTACATAATGGAATGCAAACAATTCCAAAAATTAATTTATAATTCATATAATTTTATATTACTTGTCTCATATGATCTTTATTCAAGTTCAAAGTTTTCAAGATTCTTTGAAGCGCATTCAAGAAAAAAAGGTGCTATTGTGCTCATCATGTCCGTCTGTTTGTCAGTCCGTGACTTCACGTTTTTGTCCTCACTGCAGTGATCACTGAGTTATATTTTTTCAACGTACTCTAGTTGTATTTACAATGCTTGCATAGATAGAGCTCAATTAACAATTCTTAAAATCAGTCTCACCTGCCGATAAGATAGGTATTCCTCCCAAAGGAATGTTGCCCATGAAAAGCTAATAATCCCCACAAAAATTTCTTTTGGGGCAATAGAAGTAGCAATTTCAGTGCAATGAGAAACAAGGGATTCAAAAAATGACATGTTTGATGAAATCACAAGAAAGATGTAAGCCTCTCTATTATCAGTCACTGGGCAAGTTGTGGGTCATGGAACTACAAATAACTTATCATTAAAAGCTTAATCATTCTAGTCTATAACCCTGGAACAAACAATAAGGCATAGTTAGCTTTATGGATGTACAAGCTTAGGCCATAACTTTTAGAGTTCAGTTAATTATAATTAATCAGTTTGTAATGTTCAATCTTCAGAATGAACTCATTACAGCATGTCCAATTGTTGTGAATTTGGTAAGTAATATAAAGTTTTATATCTTAACTCTTTTCAGGGGGGGGGTTCAATCTTTTGATACAATTTAAATTTGTTTGATATGTTAGCAATTAAAATATGAAACATGACAAATTTAGTAAGAAATATTAATTATACTTAAAACTTTTTTGATGTTGCTTCCATCAGCTTATCTGTTAATACCATGAAAATGGGATAATAAGGGACAATTTTGAGCATTTTTTGTTATCAGCTTCTTGCCATGAAACATTTCAGAAACGAGTTTGGGCTCATTTTAACACGTTCCCCGTGTATTGGGCCATATGTGTACCAACAGTGATATTCCACTGCTGCGTATTGGGACACCAGAGTACCAAATGCAGTATTTTACGCCGTTTTGATAAAACACATATAACTAAAAATTCTGCACGTAAACTTCTCTTTTATAATATTTATGTTCACTCAAAAAGTGGATTATTAAGTAAAAACAAATCAATGAACCAAAATTTTATTCGTGAATCTCCTTGAACAAACGATAAGTAACTAATAATTGTAACAGCAGTCAACATCACTAATTCCTATACTGAGTTCAAAACTACCTAGGCTGAATGTTTTTCATTGAAACATGGCAAACAAAAAAATGGGTTACCGTCACTTACTGTCAAACGGGGTAATAAGGGATGGTTTTGAGCATTATTTGTTAATAACTTCTTACCATGAAACATTTAATAAACAAGTTTGGGCTCATTTTAGAAGGCTTTGCGAGGGCTACCGTATGGCATCTCCAAAATACCTAATTCCAAATGCTATTTGTAAGGTGCTAGATGCAGTATAAAAGGCTCCTGAATCAATCTGGAAATGGCGTAATTAGGGACACTTGAGATAAAACTCAATTTTAAACGTTTGAAGCATGCAGAGTGTACTCATGTTACCTAACAGTACTCTGAAGTCCTTCTCTTCCTTTGTAGATGATGTAAATGTAGAATAAATGACATTTTCTGGGATTTTTACTTGGTTTTTCTCTATTGATATAGTGCCTTATCCATACATTACATATTATTAAAGTGATATTACTGTATCCATGGACATGCCATTGAGCATTAACAACGACCTTGTCCACTGCAAGCTTCATATCAGCAGCCATGTAACATTTTTAATATTTTGATAAGTTCAACTGCAGCAACATTTCTACAAAATGTTGGAGGACCGTCCGTCCCTATTTACCCCGCCCATCCCTTTTTACCCCATTTGATGGTACAGTACAATAAGTGCTAACCCTTCGAGCTTTATTGACAGCCACTTTGAATCCTTCATTGTTTGATATCTCTTCGTAGCATCCTCTGCATTGCTTGCATGATTTTAGTTTGGGTCCCTCAGCTTCAGCCAGCATATGATTTTCAGAAATAGATACCATAAAAGGGATAACTTAGACAACTTTTTTTAATGATGCCATTTTTTACTAGCTAAATGAAACTTAAATTGAAACATGCAAAATACAGGTCTATACTCTAGGTTCACTCACCATAAATTGCTGGCTCCTGCCTCTCATAGTTTTGATGTAATTAAAAAAAAAGTGATGGTCTTTGTTACCCTAGCTCTTGGGGTATCTTAGACTGGGTGGCAAAATCAATTATATTTTTTGGTAAAATAACTCCAGGTTTTGGTGCATTGTAGTAGAACTTTTCTAGTTACATATGCAAATGACTAATTTGAGGAAAGTATCATAGGGTGCAAATGGGGGGTGCAAATGGGGGATGCCGCCCCCGAATGGGGAAACTTAGATCACCTAATGTCAGCCATGACGGGGTAATACTGACTGGCTTGGAAATTAAGTCAAAATTAACATGTATAAGACTCTAGAGTCTGAAACATAAAGAAAAAACTTTAATAGGTGTATCAAACATAATATGTATAAAATAATACCCCATCAGGGCTGACATTAGGTGGTCTAAGTTCCCCCATTCAAGGGTGGTGCCCCCCATTTGCAAACTATGACACTTTCCTCAAATTTGTTTTTTGCATGTGTAACTAGAAGAGTTCTACTACAATGCACCAAAACCTGGAGTTATTTTACCGAAAAAATAAAAAAATTGGAGGGGGTTCTACAACTGGCTTTGAATGATAGCTCTTTTTTGTGGGTCACATTTTTCATTTTTTAGCCTATTAGATATGCATAATTTTTTTCATCTTTCTATTGTGTTATGTAGCCTCAGTTTTAGGCATTTAATGCCTATTGATAAAATTTTTCTATGTCAAATAGGTTTTGAGTTTTGGGGGTTTTTTGTTAAAAAGACTAAAAGTGATCTAAGTTACCCCCCTTTTACGGTACCGTAAAATGGGGTAACTTAGACCGGCGGGGTAATTTAGACCACTTTTCGTTTTTTTTACAAAAACCCCCACAACTCAAAAACTATTTGACATAGAAAAATTTTGTCAATGGGCATTAAAGGCCTAATACTGAGGCTACATAACACAATAGAAAGATTTAAAAAGTTTTCATATCTAATAGGTTAGTTTCAATTCAAGTTTAATTTAGCTAGTAAGAAAATGGCATCATTTATAAGAAAAAAAGTGGTCTAAGTTACCCCATTTTACGGTACTTAAATGACTATTATTTAAAAGTAGGGACTAGGGTCTATCTTAGGTATATAAAAAAAGCTTAGCCATTTTCTGATCTCATTGAGTAGCTGTGAAACAATCGCATCTAACGCGGCAAATTGTATGCATGTTCATATGGTATGCATGCACATTTGTATGTACAAATTTTTCAAATCAATCAAAATACGCCAAGCCCTTCTCCGCAATATGTGTCGATCTATAACTCTGCTGGCGATGTGTTTTTTCAACTCATGTTCCAGTTGATCATGGAAGATTGGTGATCAATGCTAGATATTTAGTTCAATGCCTCACCATTTGCAATTGCAGTCTTTCATATTTTCAATCATTTTCTAAATATGTCTTATAGGTACAATCAAAGAATTCTTTTAAACTTCTCAACGTAATACATCTCAACAAAAAATATACATTTTTATGTATATATTTTTATATCAAACCAACAGCATAGAAAGAAATTAATGCTGAAGGAACAGCAATGGCTGGGACAAAAATATGCACATTGTCATAGGCAAGCAGCTGTAAAATTTTTGGAACAATTAAAGGTTTAGAATACCATCATAACATTCCATCAGCGGTGTATACATACCATACCATATAAGAATACAACTGTGGTATGCTTACCATCGGCATGGTGTGGTATGACTGACTGACGTGTGACTGGCTTGATCACAAAACAATGGGAAACAAGCAGAGGGCACCCAATGCTATGTAACATCTCCCGCGTATGTCTGTATGTACATACATACATCACTGGTCGTTTATGTATGTATTTATGTAATGCATGTATGTCTGTACCTATCTATATATGTATCTATCTATGTATGTATGTATCTATTAGTATAGGTTGGCAAAATTTGTTCCTTTAAGCAGGTTTCATTTAAGACCAGAGAATTTGTTTTATTAGCAATTTTCTTATTAGTTTTTTCAATAGATTGAACAATATTTTTTGTTTGCACTGGTAAATCCAAAATCAGCATACCAAAGGACATTTTTATTTCTCTAGCACGTTAACCACCAGCATATGGCATTCATAGAAAGCTCGTTTTGTGCCACCAGTGGTACATGTGGTGGTTAATGTGTTAACAACGTTTCAAATGTATCAATCACTCATTATCAAGTTAAAAGTGGCTAGTAAATTTGCACAAGAAAATTGAACTCAGGCTGCAGGTCTCGCACAGGATGGAAGAACAAGCCATGGAAGAGCAAGTGGTTGAAGTCATCAAAGAGAACTGAGAACCCCAAGTATTTTTTTAAATATGCTCAGTCCAAGGCTAAAATAAAGACGCCAGTAGGCCCGCTTAAGGAAAACGAAGTCATTGTCGGAGATGACCAGGGCATGTGTGAGTTACTGGGATCTCAGTTTGAATCAGTGTTCAGTCTGTCTCTTATACACATCTAGATGTGTATAAGAGACAGGTCACGTACAGGATCAGCGGCATGAGGGAGCTGAACCTGAACTACTGGGGAAGGCTGAAACACCTGGAACTGTACTCACTGGAGAGAAGAAGGGAAAGGTATATCATACTGTACACTTGGAAGATGATAAACGGACTGGTTCCCAACTTTGAGAGCGAGACCTCCAAAATAACTAAATAAGGACATATTACAACGAAAGAAGGGGGAGACTGTGCAGGATTCCCCCATTTAATGACCAAGCCACGGCCAGAGTACAGACGCTTCGTGAGGGATCACTGTCCGTGGTAGGACCAAGGCTCTTTAATGTCTTGCCAAAAGTGCTAAGAGGAGGGGAGTTTACCCTTGCAACATTCAAGAGACAACTGGACAAGTGGTTGAGAAAGATCCCGGATTGTCCAGTAGTGGGAAACTACCATCAGCAAGTGACAAGCAACAGCATCTTGCATCAGCGTACCCAAATGAGGGCAAATAGACAGAACACGTCCAACGTTACATCCGACGACGACTCGGAGACGGAGGACGACAAAGGCGGCGCACCCGGCGGCCGGCACCAGCGTGACCTGGGACTAGGAAGTCCCGAACTCATCATAAGGTCATAAGGTAAGGTAAGGTCATATTGTCGACTAAAATAGTAGAACTATTTTAGCTTTCTAAAGTACGGCGCACGGCGCATTTTTTTACCAACGTAGTACGGCGCACCACGCAGGTCATTAAAATGACAAAATAAATTCCCGCGCACCTGGCACATCTTCCTGACCATGGGGCCTACTTGACTTCCACCAGGTTTGATATATGTCATATGGTGCTAGACCAGCTAGGTAGGCATTTCAAATCTGAACATATATTTTTCCAT